CATGGCACCAGGCTGGTGGAGGCCGGCCCCCAGCACAGGGCCCAGAGCAATGGAGTCTAATCCCCACCCACGGGTGCTGGGCATGTGGGCGGGTGTCACGGGGCTCTGGGCACCCACACCCTGTGGCCTGCGGCCGGCCCTGTGCAGGGAGCGGGGCAGGGCCGATACCCAGCTCAGGGAGCCAGCGGGCCCCTTGGGGTCGGCCTGGGGGCCGGGGGGGCGCGAGCCTGGGGGGGGGGCAGCAGGAAGCCCGCGGCGTGGTGGACGAAGACATGAGCCAGGCAGTGCCCGGCTGGAGGGATCTGGCAGGAAAAGAGGAACGGGGGGGTGACAACGAAGCTGTTTCAGCCCCCACCCCCAGAAAGGCTCGGTGCTGGCATCTGCTCTGGCCCCGTGATGCTCACCAGCCAGATCGGGGGCAGGGGGAGCCAGACGGGAAGGGCCCTAGAGGTCAATCACCTCCCCTGGCCAGGCGGGCGGGGGGCAGATGCCGGCCAATGAGCTCAGGGCCCCGCCCCACCTTGTACTCGGCAGATGGGTTCCCCCTTGGGGAGCAGAGTCCTGGGGTCTGAGCCAATGGGGCGCACCCCCCAGGTAGAGACCCTCCCCAAACAAGCCACCGAGTGGCACTGCCAGGCCTCCCGGGGGTGGGGAGAACAAACCACGCAGGGCAGGCGTGAGGGTGGGAACAACGGGGGAGCAGCCAGTCTCATCCTGTCGCCCCCAGGGCTGAGCCGTGGGGCTCTGCCGTGTTACCTGGATGGCCGGGATCTGAGCAGGGCCCTGGGAATTTGGGGGGAGCCGGGGGTCGTGGCTGGCAGTACTGGGGCCAGGCTGTGGGGTGAGAGCTGGGGAACAGCCCTGGCCCAGGAGATGGGTGGCCAGGCCCAGGCGGGGAAGGGCCCGGGGCTGGCCGCAGTAAGGGGGGGCCCGTCTCTCGTAGCTGGAGAAGAGCGTGCGGCGGCTGCGGGAGAAGTTCTACGGGCGGGTGAGCGTGGAGGAGGCCGTGCTGCTCATGCGTCGCTACCACAACAACCATGCCATGGTCTGCAAGGTCATCGTGCTGTGCCGGGAGCAGCTGGGCGGTGAGTGCAGGGCGGGGCGCAGACGAGCTGGGCCCGGCAAGGACAGGCAGGGGATGGGCGGGGGGCAGATGCCGGCCAATGAGCTCAGGGCCCCGCCCCACCTTGTACTCGGGTGAACG